AGCGGCGGTAGCCTTGGGACCTGAGAGCTGGATTGGGACTGTCTTGATTCTCATGAATTATTATTAGATTTCATTTATATCTATGTTTTGACATTTTTTAAGTCGTGATGACGACCTGCTGTGTCTTCTCTTAGATGCTTTCAAGCAAATCTGTGAGAAGTGCATTGTGTGAGGATATAAATTTGCCTCCTTGGTCTGCCCTGTATAGGGACTTGATGTGCGCTTGGTCGATTGAAAACCGTCACTCACTCGAGCTCTGCGTCGGCGGATGATGGTTTGAGGCCGGTTGCGTGACACCAACGATGTGTCGGGCGCGTTGAGCAGGAACTGCCGCTTTGTCTGGTTAAAATGACTCGTCCCTTTACTGGTCGGCGCCCTTGAGCGTTCAGACATCGTAGCTGGCGACTGTGAGAGTTCTGTCGGCGTCTGTCAGAGCTTTGCGGCTGATGGTTAACCATGTGGCGCGTCTGTATTCCTGCGCGTAGGATTCAGGTATTCGCCGAGGCAGTGTAAGCAGTCAAGCCACATGGCTGACTGAGTGGCTCATGCGGCTGAATGGCCGCAGTGGTTGAGACAAGACAGTGCGGGTCTTTGTCTGGGTATCATGGGTGCTGTTCAGCTGAGCCCCTCCGCCTAGAGGCCACATTTCGTACTTGATGATGATTTTCGCTTTTGCGATGCGTAAGGTCCTTCATAGACCTCATCTGTTTGTGTCGCCATGTGCTCCCCTCGTAGGCCGTATGGGGTTCATCTCATATGACTGCGGTGCTGCACCGCCCCGCCCCGTAGGTTTTGCCAAGTTAATTATGTCGTGAAAGCTGCCAAGCACCTTGTCCTCACGCTCCCGCGTAAATGCATCTTGCCCGGGATGGTATGCTCCCAGGACCTTGGCTTCGTGTTCGTTCTCAAATGTATCAGGGCCGTGCTGGTATGCCCCTAGCTCGGCCGTCGGCGCTCCCAACATCTTGGCCTCGTTCCGTGAGAAAGTGTCGGGACCATGCTGATAAGCACTCAGCTCAACCTTTGGGGCTTCCGGGGCCTTTGCTGGCTGTTCATTCAGAGAAAGATCCGGACCGTGGTGGAAGGTACCCAGCTCATGTTGTCGCCGCACGATCTCTCGCTCCGCAGCCTCTAGTTCGTGTGGCTGAGGCATCGGCTCAAAATCCGCTAGATTCACTGTGGAACTGGTTTGGTTTTGGCTGGAGCCATACACGTTTCGCTGTGCCGATGTGTTGGCTGCTCCAGGGGCGAACTCGGCAGCGGCCGTCGGATGGTCGAACTGATGACGGGGAACCGCCGCAGCGGTTGTTGTTGTTGACCCTACTGATTGTCCGTAGAGCGAGGCGGATCCGCCCGTCGGAGCATTTCGCTGACCATAGATCGAAGCGCCTGGTGTCTGACTTGTCGTCGGTGGAAGTCGTTGCCCATAAAGTGAAGCGATCGGCCCGTCTCCGCCAGCGAAGTCTGATTGCTGCCCGCCATATGATCCCCCCGTGACTGGCGACGGCCCGCTAACATACGTTATATTTTGCTGCTCGGTAATCGTCATCGGCTGTCCGCCGGCGTAGACGGCAGCTTGCTGTCCCCCGATCGCCTGTTGTTGGTTATCCATATAATATCCGCCCTGTTGACCGCCGGTCGCTTGCTGTCCCGGAGCGTAGTAACCGGAATGCTGCGGTTGCCCGTTGACGAAGGATGATGCTGGCGGCACGGAGACGGATGATGCTGGCTGCCATGCGTTCAAGCTCGATACTCCTACGGTCGGGGAAACCCCATGTAATGAAGAAGGCGCGCTCTCGCCGGATTGTGAAATGCCTATTGAAGAGCCCCGATCGGGGTGCTCGCCGTTTTTCGCTTCGACTTCGCTGTATTTCGTTTTCGGTCGCTGGGATCGTCGCCACCAGAAGAATGCCACCGCCCCTATCAATCCCACGACACTGAGCGCAACAGCGACACCAATGCCCGCTCCGGCAGCGGTCGAAATCCCCTTGGACGGCGTACTGGTCGCGGTGGGCGTGCTCATCGCGTCGGCAGGGGACGCAGTCCCTGTTGTCGAAGATGTTTGTGTCGATCCTGTGGAGGTGGAGGTTGTGGTTGTTCGGGTGGTGGTAGTTGCGGAGGATGAAAGCGCAGCTGAGTTAGTGCTGACAGCAACGTTCTGCACCACCTGGTTAGCGGCTCCCGTTTCGATTGGTGCTCGGTTCCCGAGTCAAACTCACGCCAGAATAAATGGTAGAGTAGGCGCCGTCATTGACGGCGCTAACGCTTGACAAAACCCAATGTTGAGCAAGTTGATTTTCTGCGACACCCTCAGACCCGTCGATCTCGTTGGACATGAACAGGTTGTCTTTCGGGTGCACGTCCAGCACGTAGCTGGTCCCGTTCTTCACGTTGACAAACTTGAAGGTCCCCGACCCAAAGTCAGACACATCCCACAACTGGGCCTCGTCCGTCGAAGACTCCTTCATACAAGCAATGGTGTTTCCCGTGGCTGGTTCGCCCGAGTCGTAGCATGCGCTCAGCTGCGCCTTCACGCCGGTCTGGTCGAGGCGCATGAGGTAGCGGCCTTTGACATCGCCATAAGGCTGGAACTGCCAGGCCGCTGTTCCACCAGTTATCGGATGGACTCTGAGACCATTGACCTCGGTGCGCAGCTGCAGGTTGAGGGCGAAGGGGCCGGTGCTGTTGTCGACGCGTGTTTCGGAGATGCGATACCACGCATTCGGGTCCAATGTCGCCATTTTCACCGTGCTCGGGCGCACGACTCACTCCTGTGTGGTGTGTTTGGGAATGAAGCTGTCCCAAGCAGCATGCCGCAAGCCGAGCCAGAGAGGAGGAAAGGAGCACGAGCAAGGACTCAAGGCGAGGAGACGACAGCCGGGTACCGTTGCAAGGTGGATGGGGAATGTTTTTGTCCGATCGACGGCCCACGAGTCCACGACGCATTGTTGCCCAGGGCCCGAGAAATGACATCTCCAGGATCCAGACAATGGCGGGCTGGCTGCAGCGGGCGAGCGGGCTGAGGTGCGGCGTGCCAACTTGCTGGCTGGCTGGGCTGCAGCAGCACCTCACCTCCTCCTCCTCAGCCAGCTCGCAGTTCCCGCACGCTGCCCACCTTCAGTGACCAGTGACCACCAGCTTCAGTCTTCAGTCACCACTTACCAAGGCGCCCTCGCTGCGCGGATAAGGACGAATTTGCCTGAAAGGATCGCCAAGACCAATCTAGGTACGGGGCGATGCAACCCTGGGGCCGTCATACAGCGCGTCTTCAGGGGCTAAGCTGAATGCAAATATCAAAAAAAGCGACAAACCTGCCGGGATCAGTGCCCCAACCCAGGGGCTTGGGGTCCGCAGTCTGCTGCTCTTTCGTGCCTTTCTCGACGCCCATTCGACAGATGCTGGGCCTCACTTTCACCAGCCCCCATCACGGCTCTCTGTCTCCCGCTCGACCCCAGACACCTTTGCGATTCCAGAGCGCCCGTAGCCTCGATCAGAGGACGCGGTGGTCGTCTATTGGTCCATTCGCCTTTTCGTCGCCCTACCGATTTAATCGCAGCGGCCGCTGAATTTTATGTCCGCATTACTTGGAAGCTGCATACGACACGGCGCTTCGCTCGGCCAATGGTGACTTCGTCTGCATATCGTTATTTGCGTCGACGAGCGCGAGATCATATGCTCGAGCAAGTGCCAGACTGCGTATATTTTCGTCTTGCTGCTTCTTTTCCGAGTCTGCTCAGCCTGCGGGCGATATGCAGACGCAGATACAGGACTGGTATCCGAAGCCTCAGACCAAGCCTCAGCTGAGGGGCCGGCGAACTAGGTGGAGAGCGGCGAGAAACAGGAGGAGGCGAAAGGATCGACGGAATCCTTCTTTGCGTGATCGTGACCCAACAGTCCGGTCGCGAGTCCCGGAGGCGAGGTTGAAAGGAGACAGCCAAGGCGGACTGCGTGGGTTTTGTTCTCAACCCAGGCGCTGGAAAAGGACTTTGGTTCCCGTCCCGTACTTAGCCGCCGTTAAATCTCCTAAACGGCTGCCTAGTCGAGAACCCCACGAACATGTTCTGCATGCAAAAGCAGTGCTACCCAGCATCTTGTTGGGAGTGGCCCGCGTCCCTTGCGATTTCCATGGGCACTGTCATGTCACTTGCTGATCAGTCGCTCTTGTTGGTTCCTGCTTCGGCTCGCAACTGACTCTGAATCGTCAATTTTCGGGATTAGCTTTCCTTCGGACCAGGGTTTTGGAGGGGTTGCATTCAGAATACCGGCCTTGCGGATGATGCGTATGATGTGATCGTTCCAGGAACAACAGTACGTTGCCGGCGGCATAATTGCTTCCTCATTAGTCGAGGAGTCTATCCTCCCTAGGCAACTAGGCGCTTTGGATGTCAACATAGCTGTCTATGGCGTTTGAAGTGATCGCAAGTGTACCCATTTTCTGATGGAGTCAACAAAATGGTCAGGCTGCTATTATGGTTAGCCTCAAATGCCAATGTAAGCTTCGGGAAAGGCCTAGGGCTCGATATCCCTGAACCCCTGTGCATCGCGATCCTACGAACCGTCCGTCTGGTAAGCTGTGCCGCGAGCGTAGCGCGTCATCAATTGACGGGTCTCGAAACTGAATAGCAGTTTCAAGTCGTGACGCAGGTTGGACTGCGCGTCGTGAGAATAAGAAGTCGTCGATGCTTGTTTAGCTGGCAGGGCAGGCCCGGTGGGAGGCACCGTGCACAAAAGCGTCTTTAGGCAAGAACGTGGTGAGTTCGCACTGGGCTCGCTATTCCACTTTCCGTATCTGGAAGCTGGCACGGCCCGGACCCGGGGCTGCCCCGGGAAACTTTCAAGGATCATCAGCGTTTGTAAATGTGCCTCAAATTAATATGTTTATTTCCAAATTCATCTCTTATTATTCCTATACTTATGGCAATTCTAATTTTAATGTGGATGGCGCTGAAGGTCTACAGACTAGCGATACATGCTCAGCGAAGGATGCTCCCATCGCGGTTTCACTTCCGAACGAAAGGCTCGTCTTCCCACTCCGTAGATGGAGGGGTCCGAGAAAGCCTCCAAGAGCCGCACTTGCCGTTGCTAGCAATGAAAGCGCCATCAAAGTTGGCCCTGCGGCCCCAGCGAAGATCGCCAGGGTTGCCGCAGGTGTCGGTGGAAGGCCTGAAGGTAAAGCATGCGCCGCGGTAGTACAAGCTACCCGTGCAGCCGTTCTCCAGCTGGCACGAGACGCAGCAGGCGTAGGCTGAGTCGGCGTGGCGTCTCTCACGGGTGATGCTATAGTCGCTGGCCGCTTGAACGATGGGGCGTCTGCCAGGAACGTGCGAGACCAGGTTATCGGACTGGCAAGCTGCGTACAGGGTGGCAGTCGGCATCGATGCAGCAGTGACGGTCGATGTGGTGTACGTGGTGGCGGTTTTGGTGACCTGCGCAGGGACGGATGGGACACTCTGGCTAGGCGTCGGTGCGGTGACGAAAGTCGTGAAGACGCCAGTGATGGTGTTCTCCACAGTGGTGGTGGTGAAGATGCGGATGACGCGCTCGCAGTGGACAACCTGAGGGAATAGGGGCGGGTCTGCGACAAGGGCAGCATTGTTGGCGTTAAGGCCAAGCACCAGAGGCTGCCTTACAGAACGCTCCCCGATGAAAGGAGAATTGCCACCCATATTCTGGGCACTGTCGCGTACGAGGGCAGAGGCGAGAGGTGTGAACCCTGCTGGTGCTGGCACAGTGGCGAAGGTGCCTGCAGTGATGCTGGTGATAGTTGTGAGAGTCAGAGTGCTCGTGATCGTAGCGGGATCTGTTTGGCCGGCAGGGGAGACGCCGGTAGGAGTGATAGTCACCGTTACCTTGGACGGGGTGACGTAGTTGTAGTAGGTGACGGGCGTGGTGATGGAATAGATTCTGGAGAATGTCTCTACATTGGCGACTGACCTCGGGCCGAAGTCGGTGTAGCATCCATATTCACCCTGGACAGTCGAAACGGAGCCAGCTGGGGCCGTGGTCGTGATGCTAGACGAAGTGGTGAGAGTTGATGAAGTAGCAGGACTAGAAGAGGTCGTAGGACCAGAAGAGGTCGTAGGACCAGAAGAGGTCGTAGGAATAGAAGATGTAAGGACAGATGATGTTGTGAGGACGGATGATGTTGTAGGACCGGAAGAGGTCGTAGGAATAGAAGATGTAAGAACGGACGATGTTCCAAGGGCGGATGATGTCGTAGGGGTAATTGTCATAAGAACAGATGAAGTTGTAGGAACAGATGAAGTTGTAGGGACTGATGATGTCGTAGGGATCGATGATGTCGTAGGGACAGATGAAGTCGTGAGGATAGATGAAGTCGTGGGGGCGGATGAGATTGTGGGGGTAGATGATGTCGTGGGGTTAGATGACGTGGGATTAGATGAGGTTGTAGGGAAAGACGAAGAAGTAGGATCAGTTGAAGTATTAGGGACAGATGACGTTGTGGGGACAGACGAAGAAGTAGTGACAGATGATGTTGTAGGGGCTGATGAGGTCGTGAGGACTGATGATGTCGCAGCAGTAGATGATGTCGTTGGGACTGAAGAGGTTGTAGGCGCAGAGGACGACGTAGGCGCAGAGAACGACGTAGGCGCAGACGACGACGTAGGCGCAGACGACATCGTGGCGGGATCAGACGAGGTGGTCAGTACAGAGGACGTCATCGGAGCAGAAGATGTTGTGATAACAACGGTTGTCGTAGAAATTGTGGAAGACGTTGTGAGGGCAGAAGAACTGGTAAGCACAGAGGAGGTCGCAGGAGCAGAAGAGGTCGTAGGAATAGATAAAGAGGTTGTGGGTACAGAGGAATCCGAAGAGCTAGAGGAGCTCGTCAGAAGAGATGAAGAAGACGTGAGGCTAGAAGAGGTTGCGGGGCTGGAGGAAGTAGTAAGGACAGAAGAAGAAGTGGCGAGGCTCGACGAGGTTGCGGGATTAGATGAGCTCGTTAGAAGAGATGAAGAAGTCGTGGGGCTGGAAGAAGTTACGGGGTCGGAGGAAGTCGTCGAGCTAGAGGGAGTAGTAAGGATAGAAGAAGAGGTTGTGAGGCTCGACGAGGTTATAGGGTTAGAGGACGTCGTAGGGATAGAGGAAGAAGAAGTCGCGAGGCTAGAAGAGGCCGAGGGGTCGGAAGAAGTTGTTGAGCTAGAGGGAGTTGTGGGGATAGAGGAGGAGGTTGTGAGGCTCAACGAGGTTACGGGCCCGGAGGAAGTTGCTGAGCCAGAGGGAGTCGTAAGGATAGAAGAAGTCGAGAGGCTCGACGACGAGGTTGCGGGGTCGGAGGAGGTCGTCGAGCCAGAGGGAGTCGTAAGGACAGAAGAAGAAGTCGAGAGGCTCGGCGACGAGGTTGCGGGGTTGGAGGAGGTCGTTGAGCCAGATGGGGTCCTAAGAATAGAGGACGAAGTCGTGAGATCAGAAGAGGTGGAGCTGACGGAAAAGCTCGTGAAGGTAGAGGAGCTGGAGGAGCTTGTGGAAATATCAGTGGCCCCTGTAATAGTGATGGTAGTTTGTGTTGAAACAAAGCTACCTTGGACGAGCAGGACGGCAACCGCCAGTCCCGACCTCTTGCTGAAACCCATTTTGACTACGTGGATGAGAGAGAAAACGAGTGCAGGGATGAGTCGAGTGTGATCCAAAAAGTCACTCGGCATCTGGAAAGAAAGATATCAATCCTTATAAGACCATGGCGATGCCTCTCAAGAACCCTGATGACAAGAAAAAAGGTTCAGGTGGCTCGCCGAGAGTGCATGATTGTTGAGGCGCCAAATATGGCATGCAGATCCAGGGGCATGGAACCAGTTGTTTGCAGCCGCCTTCGGTAGTTGAGGTCAGTAATTGAGTTTGCAGAGACAGAAGCCATGTTATTCCGTGGACGGCGCCAGGACAGATGAAGGATCTAGACCATCCAACATCTTTGCTTTCGTCAATAACCAACAGACCCAAGGCCTGTGAGAGCCTGGAAGTATTGAACCACAGGTAGGGCAAGCACATGTCTGATCCACAATGGCTGAGGTCGATGGCGAAGGTTTCAGGAGCCATGACGTTTGGATGGGAATATCTTTCGATGCCATAGATTTCCATGATCTGAAAATGCGGTCTTCACACGGGCATTTTAGCCATCGTACCACCACCTTCGTCACGCATTATTAGTCGAATGCTCGCGCTTTTGCATGTGACTGTCAGCTCAGATTGACTTTCCACGGCGGATAGCTAGCAATCTAATCTCGGTTTTATAGCTTCAAAATCCCCATTCAAGCCAGTTCAATCTTCGTACATCCGCTTCGTGCAGCGCAGGGGCCAGTCGAGTGACAGGGCGAAAGGACAAATAGAAGGCATATTTGATATGTGTCTAGGACCCCGCAAAATCAATGTATACTCATGGAGTGGTGTGTAAAATAGCAGGACTTGAGAACATAGATTTCGTATCTCGGGAGCGCTTGCTTCTGCTTCTGAGTGAAGTCTTTGCAAAGAAATTGGTACTGTATCTGGAAAACTGCGATGACCAGAACTTGACACTCACCTTTCGGAATGAAAGAAACTGAAGCTGTCTTGCTCTCTGAGCCGTTCTTGAATGATTGATCATAAGATTACATGACAAATGGCCTACACGCTTTGAAAGAATTCAGAGTGAAATGAAGACGATAAGGAAGGCCTCATACTGGTCCGTCAATGAGTACACCATCTACAGCAATGGAACATGAACAGAACAACGCGCTTCTCAGCTTCAAGGCAGTTTGTGTGTTGAGATTCAACTGGCACAAAATCAGCAATCTACTGAAGCCAGGCCTCCAGCATGCATGCTGTGGTGACAAAGCAGAATTGGCTTTGAGGCCTGCGGTGATTAAATTGTACTTGTAAGGTAGTCTCAAAGAAATCTCAGAGTAGCTGTCATATTAGACAGCTAGGTACACCGCAGCCATATGCGCTGTCAAAACCTTAGAAAAGTCTTCCAGGGACATTGTCCAAGCTCTGTCAAGCAGATTTCACCACAAATGGCAAAATTGAAGCCAAATGCAAAAACAATGGACACTGTGGGAATTGAACCCACGACCTTTCACAGTTGGCAGCGCGCAGAAGCGACGATGCGAAGCGAAAATCATACCCCTAGACCAAGCGCCCGTTATTATTTCTAATTGACTGTCTTCAGTACTATGGAGCCTGGCTGCAGGGGTCCCCTCTCGGTTTCCGTCGCAGCCGTCGAGCTCCGCGCTTGTGGAGCGATAGGGCGCGACGGGCCCGCAAGAACAGGGACACGAAGCTCCGCGCGGGTCCTTGTGCTGTTGGAATGACGGAAGCATGAGAGGCACGGCAAGTTTGAGCCGTACGATGTCGTCTTCGATGGCCCCCGATTCCATTGCCTTCTGAAGGCCGACCCATCGATGGGATCATGATAACCTCAAGACGACGGAACTCCGAGCTGGAAGCCAGCGCCTGGCCGTAATCCACACCAGGTCCGCAAGCTGCATCATCTGGCCGTGCAGAATGCCGACGGTCGCCAGACGGATGTGCCTCCGAGGACACAAAGGTGTGGTGCCGGCGCGAGCAGCCAGCACGCGCCAACAATCGCCGAAGCTCTACCCCTCATTGTACAACCCGACAGATCGCCGAGCCATCACCGTGGAGACAAGACACCTCTCGGGCTCGAAGCTTGACGACAAATCTCCGTACTAGCCACCCGAGGACGCATGAGTGCTGATTTGTGCATGGCCTGAGGGAGCTAGGACGCAGCTGGAAACAACCAGGCCCCTGGAAACCGACAGCCGGCCTCTCTTCTGCGCAGACACGCGGATTGGGAGGACAGCGGCGTGCTCTTGGTGCAGGAAGCTGGTGGTGTGTGTGATGGTAACAGACGATCAATTGGTAGCGGCGGATAACGATTGGATTGCATTTCTTGTATTAGGTGATGGGATCTGGCCGCGTTGGATGGAACAGCGGACGTATGATGCCAGGTTGGAAGGTCCATTTACCCCTCACTCTGACCTGCATCTGCCTCTGCTTAGCCACGATGGATGGACGGACGACATCTGCTGTTGATTGTCGATGGTCTTTCTTCGGGCGTGTCGTGTAGCCTTGTCGTGCGTTGCAAGGGTGTACGCCAGACGCCAATTGGGTGTTGCTTGGTATCTGGGTTGAGCGAGGTGGATGGTGGCCCTGGTCGCGGGGCAAACCAATGTTCCATGGCTGCAGACAACGTTGAAGTTGAAGATTTGCCGGGGACTGCGGCGTTTCATCGCCATGGGAGGTGCTGCCAACTGAAGCGGGCAGCTTGTTGCTCGGGTGGAGGGGACGAACCATGGCGGCTGGACGAGCGACCAATGGGGGGAGCCGAACAGATTACCCCACGCATCCTAGCCAGAGGGTGATTTGGAGATCCCGAATCGATAGTAATTAGTAGTGAGTGTGCATTGCAGTGAAGGAACCTAAGGTGCAGATTGACAAAAGCCGTTGCCGCACTTGGATACTTCCACTTACTTCCTCGCAGAATGAGTGTGGCTAATTAGGTAGAGACGAGACTAGCCAGCCAGAGATCACCGTTTCTCGCTACCTTAGGAGGTCGGTATCTTCTTTTCCTGTCGGACGAGATGCCGTGCTTGCGTGCCTCCTCCTCGCTCTTCGTCAGTTGCCGCACGTACATGCCATGTTCCTCCCATTAGCTGGGTCTTAGCAAGCAGTGCCTTCCCGGTTATGCTCCAGCCTCGCTGCCTTCCCGAACCTTCATGTTTCCATCCGAGTGTGAGTGGCTGACTATTCAAGGAGATACTCTGGGAAGGAGGGGCAATGGGAATCTGGCATCTCGGAGAGGTGGAGGACGGCCGACACTGGACAACGGGCGGGAGGCAGACACGCAGCTCGGAGAGGAGAAGCTGGCACATCGAACCAGCCCAGACCACGCAGACGAGCGCTCGTCGGATTGTATTGCCTCTTTCTGAACGTTCGGCCATGTACACCATGTACCACACTTCCTCCTGTCGGTCATGTTCCCCGCCCTCTTCATCCCGGCCTTTCGGTGATGCCTGCAAGCATAAATAAACCTGTACCAGCCGCTTTTCCGTGTCCTATTTTCATCCTCATCTCATACCAACACATCTCATCAGCCTAGTCTGCAAGATCCCGAGTCTACGGATCTGTTACATCGCTCTCATCTCTTCTTCTATATAACGACCACCTCCCACCTCACTCATCAACCCATCTCTTGTCTCGACCAGCTCATCCTCTACACACATCTTCAAAATGGTATTGTTCTCTCGCAACCTTCGCACTATTGCCCCTTCTGTCTCTCGGGGACTTCACACGTCCTCCAAGGCATCTTTCCTGGCTCGGCCTGCCATCAGCAGAGCCGTTGCTCCCTCCACGGCCCTCCCTCGCAAACTGCCTGGCCAGCTTTCTTCGATCCGCACACTAACAACTACTCCCCACAACCAGGTCAAGGTTCTCGCAGTACTCTACGACGGCGGCCAGCACGCCAAGGACGTAAGTGTCATCTCACTTCCTGTTCCCCCAGATTCCCACAATGGCATCCGACACCCGCGCTTTCACCACCAAGGAACGTCACTATGATAGCTCGCGCGGAGCTGTGCCCCGCCGTGATCTCAAGCAGGATGTCTCGCCTGCAGAGAGCTAGTGCGGGGATGACGGGAGGTGCGGGGCTCGGAGGTCGATCGCTGATACATCGGCATTCTGCCCCAACTCTTGGCAATGACCCTCCGAAACTACCAAATGCGGGGTGCATCGCACCCATCCCTGGAGCTTCTGGGCTGACTTCGAAACCACACAGGTCCCCGGCCTTCTGGGCACCACCGAGAACGAGCTCGGCATCCGCAAGTGGCTCGAGGACCAGGGCCACACCCTCGTCACCACCTCCGACAAGGAGGGCGAGAACTCCAAGTTTGACCAGGAGCTCGTCGACGCTGAGATCATCATCACCACCCCGTGAGTACAGGCCGACATCAGCTGCATCGCCATGTTCCATCACGACTAACACGCCTCTCTCCCAGCTTCCACCCCGGCTACCTGACCGCTGAGCGTCTCGCCAAGGCCAAGAAGCTGAAGCTCGCCGTCACTGCTGGTATTGGCTCTGACCATGTTGACCTGAACGCTGCCAACAAGACCAACGGCGGTGTCACCGTCGCCGAGGTCACCGGCTCTAACGTCGTCTCCGTCGCTGAGCACGTCGTCATGACCATCCTCGTCCTCGTCCGCAACTTCGTTCCCGCCCACGAGCAGATCGAGCGCGGCGACTGGAACGTCGCTGCTGTTGCCAAGCAGGAGTATGACCTCGAGAACAAGGTCGTCGGTACCGTCGCCATCGGCCGCATCGGTGAGCGTGTCCTGCGCCGTCTCAAGGCCTTCGACTGCAAGGAGCTCCTCTACTACGACTACCAGCCCCTGTCTGCCGAGAAGGAGAAGGAGATTGGCTGCCGCCGCGTCGAGAACCTCGAGGAGATGCTCGCCCAGTGCGACGTTGTCACCATCAACGCTCCTCTGCACGAGAAGACCCGCGGCATGTTCAACAAGGAGCTCATCTCCAAGATGAAGAAGGGCTCTTACCTCATCAACACCGCCCGTGGCGCCATCGTCG